AACCTTGACCTTAATCAAGACTAGTACATTAGAACTGGCTGCTCTTCTGTATAGGTCCTTGGAGGCAACCTGGGTATCCAGAGGGTAAAGTTGGCAGTTAGCAGTTGGCAGAATGGAAGGAGGAACAATCATTACTGGCTGAGTTGGTTGTTGCAGAAGAATTGTTGGTTGAGGTTGTACAGCAGCTAAACCAGGATGTAACAGTACATCAGGCCAAGGTTGATTTTCCAGCCAAATGTCCTGAGGCACTACCTGTGATAGTGCTTGAGAAGGAACTTGAATAGTAATATGAGGGCTGTGACACAGCTCAGGATTTGCTCAAGCTGTAATAAAAGACAATGAAGGCAGCACTGGCTTGAATGGTTCAGGTACTGTAGTATAGCAATACAAAGGCTTAGTGTTGCTGCCAATATTGCAGAACCAGGTGGACCTAGAGACAGAAGCTCTGGTTCTGTTAACATATATGGAATGACACATATAAGCAACAGACGTATCCGAGACATAGCTACATATTATATATACCTACTGAATCAACAGACAATAACACTAAGTAGAGCAAGCCGAGTCCACTACCCCCCCTCTTTGTGTGATCCCTCTAAGCCTCTCACATAACCCCTCTCAACAGGTTATGAGCCTTGCACTCCCTGCCTACACTTTATCTACACTCTACTATGTCTATGCTCCATACAGTTCTACACATCACATGCACACACACAGCATACTACAATGCAGAACTTGACACACCTGTCTGAGTATCCCAAACACGAATCAATACACTGTGAATGCACAATCTACTGTACTACATACGACCCAGACATTATATGATCATCATCTTAGCAATTATGATCATTGGCCCAGTAATAACATAATCTATACAGGCAATGCTGAAACTATGATGAGTATCACTTACTGTGACATTTAATCACTAAAATATTCTATAATATTACAGAGATCATGTTATTATAAATAACTGATCATACTACAGACGAACGTTAGAAGGATTGAGAAAGTAAACACTACTCATCTGCTATTAATATTATAATAGCACAAATGATTGACACTGTCAACGAACACACATATATTATAGCATAAATAAAATAATAACACATATAACAATATCACAGCTGAACAATTAATGTAAGACATGTCTCAGGTACATGTCTCGGATATGTCAGACATGTCAGATATGAGATAAAGAAGTTAGCAGACATACATCCAATATCTAAGACATCCGATATCTATGCACTAATACAGCTTATGAAAGCATACAACTATCTACAGACAAATTAATAATAATAATAATAATAATAATGTTACAAAGTACATTACAGTAACTATGGTACAGGAACGAGTACACAATTATAGTCAATAAACAAATAACAATACTTTACACCTATGATAGTGTAAACATATAATAACGACGTATAATAACAGCAAACAGTAGAATAATACCTCTACTATTACTACAACAATGTAACAGAACATATTTAATTGTACAGAACATAGATATACTTTAACAAAGCATAAATAAACTTATATTAAAGCTACAAAGCTTATATACAAGTGAAGTACTATGCCAATATGGCTAGTACAACAAACAACAGAAAAACTACAATGGATGCACTTATTATAATGATTACAAACGAAAACAATCATAATATAATAAGATTAAATAAATTAATAAAACGTTTAACACATTATCTCAGACAGTATAATATATAAAGAAAAGCAGACACAAGTATATCTATTACATCTTATCAGAGATATGAATAGATGTGCAACCAATGTTGTAACTGCAAACACGCAGAGAGATTTCTTAGCACGTCTGAAATATTACAGACATATTACAAACATCACATTAAAATTTATAAAACAAACAGCACAACGTTACAGTGTAATGTTTAAACAAAATGATGTATGTCAAACATCATGAGTTAACTTAAAACATACTGTTATATTATAACACATACTGACGAATGCACAAAAGTAAAACAACAAAGTACTAACACTACTTGTTAGATTACAAATACACGAAAGGAAATCAATGATGTACTTATGTACTTACACTACTTGTCAATTACTCAAAGAATAGCCTTCTTGAATTGAAGGGGAGTAATTGAATAATATACATGCTAATGATGAACATTGAATTCTTAATACAGACATATTGACTACGTCACTAAGTGAAATCTGCAATGAATCCGACAAATCCGTCAAACGCGAAATACCTTATTAAAGAATATAAAAGTTATACATCACATAACATTTACAATGCTTATAAAAGTTACTCGAACGGATAATTAATAAATTAATAATAATAAAGCCTAGAAATGGCACATATTCCCAAAGCATTCTTTACAACAAATGCATGAACGTTCACAATGCAAAACTGCAGATGAACAAATGAATATTCATGATGTGGAAACGTTGATCTTATTGCTAATCCTAAAAAACAATAAGTGATAGAAGTTACAGACAGATATAACGGATCACAAAGGTAAATCATTTGATGCAACACAAAATAACACTGATTGGAACAAATAACAGAAGTCAATGCAATGTGCAATTGAACTTCAACATTAAATAAATAATAACTCCACTATGAAACGAATACTCATACTTGGCAAATAATATTAATATAATAATCCAATTAACTTAATAACGTTTAATACGAAAATAAATAAAATACAGACAATTATCACATCATATAACAAAATAATTCATCAATCCAGACTATAGTTCATGGATAAAAGTGATGAATAACAAAAATAATACTTTGGAACGTACATAAAACAATAAATAATATATCCATACAATAATACAAATATAATTGCAATATAATTCGCAACTACAATCAAACAATACAAAGATAATAACTATACAAACAAGTATGGAGCACATACATATAATCAAATAAAACTATTAAATCGATTCTTGTACAAACAATTAATTTGCCCTCACTACACAATTAATACAAGCATGAACAGCATTATAACATTATGAAATACATTGGATAGATACTAATAAGTATATCTATACAATGATTCAAATAAAATAAATAAAACTAATATATAAAACACTTTACCTAGCTAATCAATTAACAAATAAAATGTCAAACAAATACTACAATTGTGCATACTACTAGATTAACTAAAGTATGCTAGGAGACAATTATAGTAAAAACATAATCTGATATATCAATTATATACAGATTGTGTTACAATACATTATTCTTCACAAAAAGAAAAAGCAAAGAACAATAGCCATAATACTAATAAATATTCATAACATCATGATCACAACAATTCACAATAATACTGTTAATAACAAATAATACAAACACACGTTACTAATGATTTACGACAGATAATTATGTTGGCTATTGAAGAAATAATGCAACAAATTGCATAGTTACTCAGGATGCATCAGAAACGATTCATTACAGAATGCAACATTAACATATAAATATAAACAATAATGTAAAGCAAACGAACAAACAATACATTCATGATATAATACATATATGATGCACCTAGACACATAGCAAGCTGCCTGCAGCCAGATATAATATCTATACAACAAATATATGTTAGTATAAAACCTCATTGATCTCAGAATGAAGCAATCTGGCAAAAACAAATAGTATTATTCATATTACTGATATACAATCAATGCAAAGCTTCAATCTGAAGACATAAATCAGCTATTACTGAATGCTTAATGCATATACAAACGTAAACGAACACAGACAGCAATGATTAAAGAAGGATATCATTGCAACACTGGATATACATTTTACTAGCATGATTCATTAGTTTCACAGTAAAGTAAAAAGAAATTACTAGTAATACTTGAGCAAATTTAATAAATAAAACACACACATTATGATCTTACACAGCACTCATGAGATTCTGCAGGTCTCTGAAGCATATATGATATTAATAATGATTTCAAACAATTTATTGTGAAAACAATACTGTCATTGAACAGTAAACTATGCACAAACTTCGAATTAACTCTGAACAATTTCAATCACATTGAACAGTCTACAAGACAATGAACAACAACTTAATAATATAATGATGAACGAACTACAGAACTAATAACACAACGTTGAACAAAAACTTAATAGATATCTAACAACACACAAAGTTAACACACAGTGGACTAAAATATACAATACAAACGATGCATTTATATTATACAAATGATATTATTATATGTGATACACGAGCAAATATAATACAGACACGACGTACAATGCAGATACAATAATAATAAAAATGTTGGAACGATCTGCAAATCAAACATCTTATAGGTCTGGCCAACTTATAAATGTTTGAAGGGGAGTAGTAGCAGCACTATAACTACCCCTAAAAATAAAAATAAAAATAACTACAAATCAAATAAACGAATAGTCACAAAACAAACATATTATTAAACTAATATATGTTTGAAGGGGAGTGTTAACATATATGGAATGACGCATATAAGCAACAGACGTACCCGAGACATAGCTACATATTATATATACCTACTGAATCAACAGACAATGATGCTAAGTAGAGCAAGCCGAGTCCACTACCCCCCCTCTTTGTGTGATCCCTCTAAGCCTCTCACATAACCCCTCTCAACAGGTTCTGACATAGAAACGACTGGAGAAGCTGGCTAGCAAACTGGACCAATAGATGGTACATCCTAGCCAATAGACAGAGCTGACAAAGATGTCAGCATAGAGGAGGAAGGAGGTGAGAGATGCAAAAGAAAGTAAGGATCTTACAGAAGCTGACTTTGGACCCAACATTGGAAGCAGAGATCCTGTATAACAGTGAAGCAAGGAGTAGTGTCCTTATTACAACTTCTGGCATTAATGACCTAGGAGGACCAAGTAAAGTGGATTCTGTAGAAGCTATAGAAGCTAGCAGAGAGGCTGCAGTATCAGAGTTATAGCAGCAAACTGTGACTCAGACATCAAATTAGAGACCTCTGTGCCAGGCACCATGGAACTTGGAGGTACTGAACTTGGCATTACTGATGATGAAGGGAAGGGTACACTAGATGATGAAGCTAGCCAACAAGATCCGGCTCTAGAAGGGGATGACAGTGAACTGGGATAAC